GGCGGCGCGGAGCCCCTCTCCGCAGGGCCTGGGGGCGCAGGAGGGTCGCTGCCCACCTTGCAGCCTCCGGGGCCGAGGGTCCTGGAGCCCGCGCCACAGGGCCTCCACCTAAGTCCGGACTCTCCATACCAGGCCCTCCCGGGAGCGCGCTCGGGAACCCGGCTCCTGGCCGGCTCCACCTTTGGGAGGTGGCGGAAGGTGGCAGGTTTTCCATCTGTGGGGCCTTTTGTTGGTTCGCTTCCTTGTTTTGAGCCAGTGTTTTGTTTTACCCTGTAAGGTCTATTTCCAGGGCACTCAGATCCACTCTTAAGCCTCAGTGGTGGAAGAGCCCTCCGTGCGCATTGTCTCATCTGCAAAGCAGAAGAAGAAATTTACATTACTTCTGGACTTGAATGCAAAGGGCCCTAAATACCAGTGAGGTGACCTGGCTTAAAACAATTTGGTCAAATCCACAATAATTCCAGAAATAGTCACCATAATTTGAGCATTTAAAAATGCGTACTTTTTTTAAAGCTCTTTTTAATGGCGAGGTGCTAAGCAATTCAGTGAAACCCTGTCTCTAAATAAAATACAAAACAGGGCTAGGGATGTGGCTCAGTGGGCGAGTTCCCCTAAGTTCAATCCCCAGTACCAAAACAAAACAAAACAAAAAACTTTTTTGTCTCACTAAATATCCTGACTCAGGTTTAGGGTTAGCCTCAGTCTCAATTTAAGTGAACTGGATGAGTTGTTTTATGGATATCTTAAGTAGTGTCTGCCACAGGACTTTTCCTGTGTCGTTGTTCAAAGCAAAGTACTTGTTGCTGTCTCATAATTTGGTGAAGTAATGTTTACGAAGACGGCCAACTGCTAAGAAACCACAGATCTTTTCGTTTCTTTTGTTTTGCAAAGTATCAGTTGTATCACAAAATCTGAATATCAGAGCTTATCAGTGGTGTGTCTCATGAAAGAGTCCTTAGTGGAACCTTTGGAACCTGGGAAAATAGATGGAATTCTTCTGGATTGCCAAATGTTCCTTTTAACCACTGTCTCCAGGGGCTGTAAAGTGAAAGGTGAAAGCCTCTACCCAGCAGGGATTGACAGGTGAAGATGCCTGTTGTATATAGAAGACATGAGTCTTCTGTGTTATCTCTTCTGATGGAAAAGGAAAGATTAAAGTTTGGCGTGTGAGAGATGTATGTGATGGTGGTGGTTAATCGAGTAGACTAGTAGAAAGTAGCTTAAGACTGAGGCCTATCAGAAATCTGTGTGTTTCAGACAGAATCATTTTGCATGAGAAGTCAGACAACATGGAAGCACTTACCGCAATCTGTTAAATGCAGGGTAACGAAAATAGCAGAACTGGAGAACACCTGGAATGAAGTGTTGCCCAATTCTAGAGTAAGACATAAAGCCAATTAAGAGTTTTTTTTTTTTTTTTAAGGCACAACTGGAAAACAGAGTGTTGAAAAGATCACCAAAATAATAGCCATCTATACACTGGACATACCTCTTAAGTTATGAGAAATGAATGCCAGTATGTGGAAAGCAGCTACTGTTGCTGGTTAATTTTAGAAAATGTTGAATGTTTCTTCTTGCCAAATCATTTATTTTATTTTATTTATTTTGGTTGTGGATGTTGCACAAAACAGTTCCTCTCTTACTGGAAGGCTAATATTCTTTTTTCCCCTTCGGAGCTAGATTCTCACTAGGTTGCCCTGGCTGGCCTTGAACCCTGGGCTCAAGTGATCCTTTTGCCTCAGCCTGTCCAGTAGCTGGGGGGACAGGCATGCATCCCTGAGGTTGGCCAGAAGATGTTTCTTAAGTTTGATCTGTAGAGTTCCTCAGCAAACATTTTATTAAGCAGCTTTTCATTGTTAAGGACCTAACTATTCAAGGAAGGACCGTCCGGTTGTAGTAACGCACGGTTCTGTGGGAGAAATACTGTATAGGTACTGTAAGACGTCTTTTGAAACAGGTGTGCAGTGGGAACTTGAAGGAGGGCCATCACTTCAGACTCAAGTTCAGACTGGAGGAAGAGTTCTTTAAACTGCGTAGGCTTCTGAGGAAACTGCACCTGGAATAGTGAGTTAACCTGTGGGTAGTTCAGTGTGCTGGGAGGCTGAGGTGGGAGACCCAGCCAGAGGCCCAGCTCACCAGGAACCTCACCTGCCACTCCTAAATCCATGAAGGACCATTAGATGGTGTGAGGCAGAGAAACCAGGGGAGGAGGATGGAGACCCAGATGAAAGGCAGGGGATATGAGGAGAGGACACACGGATGAGCTAGTGAGGAAGTGAATTTGATAGGAAATTGATTTGGTGTGGACTTGAATTGGGAGGTGGATAACATGAACCATAGGTTTTGGGCTTGGAGGCTGGATCTGTTTCAGGAAAGGGTACTTTTCACCAATGAAGGATATGAGGTAGGAAAATAGGAATGTTGGGAGAAGGCAGCCCTGGGGGTACATTGGTAGTTCAGTCTGAAATGCTGGTGAATTGTCCAAGTGTGGATGTGGGAGACAGTAGGGTAGATGGTTCCGGAAGTGAGGAGAAAGCTCAGGTTGGAACTACAGATTTGCAAGATTTGGGTGACCAACAGTTAAAACTTGGGTTGATTGGACAAGGTGGTCCAGGGAGAAAGCACTGAAGGAGATAGGGAGGCCCAAGGGTAGTCCAGGGCTCAGGAGAACCTGGGAAAGAGGCTCTGAGGAAGAGGAGCACTGAAGGTGCTGGTGTCAGACACCAGGAGAGAAAGCAGCATTGAGGGTAGGGCACTGGCCGGAGGAGGAGAGTGGATGTGATATGGACTCACCGGATTTGGCATTTGAGTAATCACCAGGTAGGAATGAGCACACAGTAGGTGAAGAATCCGTCTGTTTTTGCACCACCCATTTCAGTAAATAGCTCTGCCCTCCATCCAGTTGCTCAAGCCCAGAAACCCAGGCTCCACCTTGATTCTTTCCACCTTTCCTTTCCCCACATCCAGTCAGTTCTCCCATCTCCAAAGGGCATCTGGAGTTACTCCCACCCCCAACTCCTGGCACTCCAAGCAAAGTCTCTGTTTCTTACCTGTTTCACCAGGATAACCTGGCTGGCCTCCCCAGTTCCTCCTCAATCCACTTTATGCAGTTACAAAAATGAATTTTATTAAAATGCAAATCAGATCATTGCTTGCTTATTTATAATTTCGAATGGCTCCCCATTGCCAGTGGATGAAATTCAGATGTTCCTACATGGCCCTCAGAGATCTGTGAGATCTAGTTTCTGCCACTTTGTGACTTCAGCTTGTGCCACTTGCCCCTTGGTTCACTGTACTCAAGCCGTTTTGCCATCTTAGTGCTCCTTGGCTTTCCCCAACTGCCCAGGGCTAGCTCCTTTTCACATGGAGGTCACGGGGTATCACTGCAGGTCCACCTATCCCAGGAGCGTACTATTTGCTAGCCCTTTTAGTTTACTGTTTTATTATGATGTTTAACTATTGACTTCTAACTATTTGATTTTTCTCCTTTTTTTCTCCATCAGAAGTTGATATGTTTTTTTTTTTAATTTATAGACAATATCCTTATCATAGTGGGTATAATAAATGGTAATAAGTGTAAAATGTCTGTGAGGCATAGACATGGCCTGACAGATTGTCAGTTGTTTGCAACGCGGTTAGAATTGGTTTGGCACATAGTAAGTCCTCAGCAAATGTTTGTTGGAAGAGTTTTTTCCAAGTGTGATTTCATGCAGAGTCTTTTTTCTTTTTGTACCAGGGATTGGACCCAGGAATGCTCTGCCACTGAGCCACATCTCCAGTCTTTTAAATTTTGAGACAGGGTCTCATGAAGTTGCCCAGGCTGGTGTTGAAACTGCCATCTTCCGGCCTAGCCACCTGAGTCACTGGGATTACAGGCATAATTTATTTTCACTCTTTAATTACCAATTTATATTTCTTCAGAGATTTAAGAATAAGTTGACATTCATAGACTAACTGCCATGATTTTGAAATTAATATATATTAAGAGTAATGTTTATTTTGTTGTTGTTGTACTTGTTTTATATTTTTGTTTTTTTGATGCTTCTTGACCAAATTTAGGCTTAGACTGTACCTCTGCAGTTGAAAGGCTCCAAATCTTGTAACCATTTCCTTAGCCTTTCACTTATTTACTGATTGTGATAGTAAAATAAAGACTTGAAGGGGCTGAGGTAGTGCCCCTCAATGGTAGGGCCCTTGCCTATCAAGAGATACTGGGCTGACTCTCCAGCACTGCCCAAAAGAAAAACCTGTCAAAGAGTGTAAAAACATACACATACACACTCTCACACACAGTCTCTCTCTTCCTCTTTCTCTCTCTCTCTCTCTCTCTCTCTATACACATATATACAATCCATATATAAGTACACATACATATATCACATTTTATATGTGCATATATATTTGTGAGATATATATGTATGTGTGTGTGTATATGTATGTATATATATATTTTTTTCTATATGTATATATATTTTTTTTTACTAGTATTTTACTTCAACTCCTGGATATTCACTAAGCTCAAATGCTGTCAGAAAAGAGGAACTAAAGACAAATAAAGACAGCTACATGTAGAAGTTCATAAAATGTAAATTTAAAAAAAAATTTACTTTTTAGGTGTAGATGGACACAACACAATGCCTTTATTTTTTTATGTGGTGTTGAGGATCAAACCCAGTCTCTTCTCGCCCATGCTGGGCGAGTGCTAGGCGAGTGCTGTGCTAGGTGATCACTCTACACTGAGCCATAATCCCAGCCCCATAAAATGTAAATTTATTTTCACAACCTCTTTATTTACTTATTCAACTAAATAAATAGCTACTGGGCACAGAATACTGGGGAGCCTATGTTCTAGTGGTAGCCTCAGATAGGATACCTGTACTCAAGTAAATAATGACTCTAAGTCAAGAATATTAAAGTACATCACTTTTAAGGAAATGATCCATCTACTATGAAAATTTGTAGTACTTTTAAAAAACGGAGAGCACTTATGTAGCTTAAAATGGTTTCTTTGTTTTTGTTTCAGAGATTGAACCCAGGGGCACTGAACCACTGAGCCATATCCCCAGCCCTTTTTAAATTTTTTTTTTTTTAAATTTTGAGACAGGGTCTTGCTTAGTTGCTGAGGCTGACCTTGAACTGGCAATCCTCCTGCCTCAACCTCCTGAGCTACTGGGATTATAGGCCAGCCGCACCACACCCTGTGTTTCTGATCTTTCCATCCTCACTGAGGCTAGTTTAGTTCAGCCACCAGATACATCTGGGTGGTTAGAGCCTTCGAACTGGAGCCCAAGAGTTTTTATTAAGTTGTGTCTGTTACCTATGAATTTGAATTCTCTATGTAGGACATCACCTATGTTTCAGTCTTGGAAATATTTTAATCTTGCTAAGACCCTTGATGTCATTTTAAAAAGTGAGAATAAAATGCCTTACTCTGGTATAGGATTCTTTATAGATTAGTTTATTCTTCACCTCCCACACCTCCTTGGGAAGTTGGTTCTTGTGTAAAATGGGAAGCATCTCCCTGTGTGCTCAAGCATCGTATGGCTCTGGATCCTTAAGGCTGATGAGAAATTACTTTGCCAAATGCTTGACATGAACAATGCCCCTGAATCTAGAAAAAAGTCCTTGGAATTTTGAGTATATAAGCAGCGGAAGTCAACTGGTTGTGAGACCACATGCCTAAATTGAGGGACTATAATTTCCTCCTGGGACTTTTATGTTTTTGCCTCTAAACCTTTTTTTTTTTTTTTTTTTTAATTGTCTTTTTAGATCTATGTGACTGCTGTGGTTTTTTATTCACTTAAAAATTTCCCTTGGCCCTGTTAGATCTTTATCAAAGATGATTTCATTAATAAATTCTCCTTCAGTAATGTATTCTTTTTTTTTCAGCCAAACTCAGAAGCACTTCCAAAATTGTTACATTGTGACAATAGATCAATATTCTGATCTATTGTCAGGCTTGTAGTTTGAGAGTTTTTTAGCAATAGTGATACATTGTACCCAGTCCTAGGTTTAACTGACTGGTTAGAAGCTCCATCTGCATTCTCTCTCTCTTTTTTTTTTTTTTTTGAGAGAGAGAGAGAGAGAGAGAGAGAAAGAGAATTTTTAAATATTTATTTTTTAGTTTTTGGTGGACACAGCATCTTTATTTAATTTTTATGTGGTGCTGAGGATCGAACCCAGTGCCCCGCGCATGCCAGGCGAGCGCACTACCACTTGAGCCACATCCCCAGCCCTCCATCTGCATTCTCTATCCTGTGCCTTGTGCCTGGTAAAATTCTGGGGCAGTGTGAAATCCACAGCTTGAAGTGTCAGTGTCCTGCTGCAACCAGCAGAACAGCTTTGGACTTGCAATACTAGGAGTCTGATATTCCACATGGGAATCTGGGGGGTTGTTGTATGTAATTGGAATCAT